TCTTTCAACGTGATCTACGACTTTTGTTTAGATACTTTAAAGCTAAAATGCATTTTATTGAGATTCCACTTTTTACGTCAAATAATATTTTTGGGAAAAATAGGGTTGTCACACGAAGCCCCGGTATCATTCCCGAGCCCCAAAGCAAATCCCGAAGCCCGAAGATCCCGAGAAGTGAAATTCTCGAGCCGAAGCTCTGCCTGCAAGAAGCTGATTTTTGTGAAGATCTTTCGGATCTACCGAAGAATACTACTTTTACAAGCCGTAGTTCTGTCCGAGCATCGTCTAATCAAGTGAGTGTATAGTCACTTTCATCTTACACATAGATATGAAGTATTTTATAAAATACGTGCTATGTGTATAATATAAAGTTGTTTATACGTGTGATTGTATAGTCCCTTTCATAAACACGATATTAATACAAGTATTGTTTAAATGTATTGAGTATATGTTTAGTATGAGTGTGGTTACTTTCTTCTAACACATAAATATAAAGTATTAGCTATGAAATACGTGTTATGTGTTATATATTATTTGTCTATTTGAGATGGGCTTGGAATTGATGTTTTTATATGGGTGTTAAATGATTTAAATTGTGTTTGTATTTATATCTACAAAATTGTTGGGTAGAACATCGATAGATAGAATAGTTGATGACGATGCGAATTCGTGCCTATTGAGTAAAACCTTGGTGACGATACGACTTTGTGCCTATTGAGTAAGCCTTGGTGACGATGCGACTTTGTGCCTATTGAGTAAAACCTTGGTGATGATGCGACTTCATGCCTATTGAGTAAAACCTTGGTGACGATGCGACTTCGTGCCTATTGAGTAAGACTTGGTGACGATGCGACTTTGTGCCCATTTGATAAACCTTGGTGACAATGTGCGTTCGTGCCTGTTGTGTAAACCCCGGCGACTATGAGACGTAGTGCCTATCGTATAAACCCTGGTGACTATGTGAAGTAGTGCTTGTTGTATAAACCGTGGTAGCAAATTGACTTTGTGCCAATTCCTTAGGTAAATCCTTAGGAATGAATGAATGAAGGATAGTTGGTTCTTAGGGTAAACCCTTGAGAAAATAAAGGAGATATGGGGATGGGTATTTGGGTTGATTGCTTGATAATTGAATATAATAAATTTATTATTGTGGGTTTAAAACCCTATATACTCACCAGGCTCCCAAGCCTGACCCACTCAGTTTTCTTTGCATTACAGGTAATGGCACAAGGGTATCAGTTGATGGACTTGACGAGAGATTTTGGATTATAGATCAGTAGTTATAAATAACTGTTGTAAGGTTTATTTTATATTGTTTATGTTTTTGGTCTGTATCGGAACATGACATCCTGAGGTTTTATTATTAAATAAAAAAAATACATTCTCTTTGAGAAATGTTTTCATAAGTTATTATCATATCTTGTTTTGGGAACAAATTCCGCAACCGTTTTCTTTAAACGATTACTCTGATTTATAAAACAAAGTATAAACAAATCGGTTTTTTTGGCTGTGAAATTGGGGATGTCTCAGCTGGTATCAGAGCATTAGTTTAAGCAAACTAAGAATTTTTAGGATTTCTAGACTTAAACTTAGAATACTAAGTATTGATCGTGAAGAGTGTGTCTAAAATATGTTAGGTAGTACATCTAAATTGACACAAGTACTAGTTTATTTTAGGAATGATACCTAAAATGTTTTTATGTGCTAAATGTGATATGTTGACATATATGATATTATTTGTTCGGATCTATGGTCTGTATTTTAATTGTCATTTAAACATTTAATTTTAGTTTTTGAAATTTATTTGACATTTTAGGATTTAATATACTGTTTCTTGTAGTATTTTATTTTTTTAACTAAATGTTATTTTCAATTTTGGTTTAGATTAAAATTTTTAAATTAGTATTGTTTAAATAAAAAATAAATAAATAAATAAATAAGTTGTATGAAGTATGAAGGATATGAGTAATGCATTGGCATATAACTTTGTTTTCAAATAATGCTTTCGAATCGAATGTCATATCGTGTTAAAATATTTTATGCTAACGATCATAGTTATATTTTATTAAATATCTTACAGGGATATATACATGAGGGATACATGAGGGCTCACATAAGCAGTAGTGGCACCAAATATTTTTTTCGAGAAAATATTATAACATAAAAAAAAAATTAAAATTATGAGTACATTAAATATAACAAACTAGTACTTTAGAACTTACATTTTAAATTTGATATCTATATATACATATTTTTTAAAAGCAATACATTACATATTCGACATTTACTTTCATAAAGGCCTTTTCTTTAAATTACGCATCAATGCATCGTTCATAAATGATCACCCATTTTGTTATACAAATTCTTATTCAAGAGTTTGATCATGAAAAAATATATTTTTACTGTTGCAGTCGTGATTGGTAAAAGCAAATTCAATTTTAATAACTTATAAACCATAGGATAAGAATGATGTTTCGATGTTTCCACCATCAAATAAGAAAACATCATCAAACAAGAAAACTTAGTAATTTCCTTCAAACTATTGAAGTGATCATCTTTATGCAAAAAGTGATAATATATATTAAGTTCATCATCAAGTTGCATCTTCTCTAAATCATCAAAGTTGTTTTTATACAACTCATTCAACTTCAATAACCTTGTTTTTTTTTTCCAAATTTAGCAAAATGAATCATAAGGGCTCAGATCCCTCGTGTATATTAGTAATTAGGTGCTTATTAAACTTTATCAGTTCCAAATTCTATAATTTGAACAGCTACAATTGTGATGGAAATTTCAACTTCAAAATGAATCTAATTAGTAACTTTGGTCCTGCGGCCTCTCGAAGTGACATAATTTTCGGTCATATCCACAATATTAGTATTATTTTTTTGACAAAAAGAAAATATTGTCGACAAAGTTTTATCACCTCGTATCTCTTAAAGATTTTAATGCATCCATTATCCCTCTATCCTGATAAATCGCTTCTAAAATGTCTTGATCATTTTTTAAAATGCTTTGATAATATGCTCGTGAGGTGTAAAACTTCATACATCAAACGTAAATAAAACACAAAATCAAGTTTTTTGAAATATCTTAAGATAATGTATGTTTGATTTCAGTTATTTATAGTGGATCCCTCATCTTCAACATAAACAAGAACTTCAAGAACCTTCATAAATAAGTTCATCAAACTTGTGATTGTTTTGAAATATGAACCTTATTTTGTATCCCCCGTTCAAATAAAATAACTCTCTTGATTTAACCCATTTCTTAGTTTTAAGTTCTCCGCTACCAATTGCAACTCTCTTGATTTAACCCATTTTTTTAGTTTTAAGTTCTCCGTTACCAATTGCCTGCCTTTTCCACCATTTCTATGTAACTCTCTTATAGCATATATTTTCTTTGATATGAACCACATATCAAAATAACCACCAGAGAAATTTATTCAAAGAAGTTTTCAACATTATCGTGCTCTTTGCTACATCCACGATAACCTGTTGAAGTTGGTGTGCAAAGGAATATACATAATACGCTAATCGTTATCTTATAATAACAAAGCTTTCATACCAGTGAATGTATCTCACATATTGCTTTCCCTATTGTGATCTTGTCCTCTTACTTACCTATTAAAAATTAAGATATAAGACATAAAGAAAATAATATTCAATTAAAATACATAATAATCAAAAAAGTTTGGATTAACTAAGTCATACTCAATTTATTACTGGTAAAAACTTTATTTATAGCCTCCTTAAAAACATTTACATGCAAAATTTGAAAATAAATTTAATAATGTAATTTTTATCTTTAGTTTAAAAATTCTTATAATCTCCTTCTACTCTTTTACAACAAATAACTAAACCTTCTATGAACTAAATTTAGTGTTGTTTGGTAAAACTGTTTAACGGGGAAGAAAAATCATTTTAACTTTTTAAATCAAAGTAACTTCAAAAATTTAACAAAAAAATCATCAATTTATAAAGTATTATATATCAAAGAAATTCAATTCACACATGAATTTTATCGTAGATCAACTTGAAATGAAACAATACATAGGTTTCCCTCCTTCAAATCCAAACAACAAAAAGAAATCCAAATAAAATATATAACAATTCAATAAAACTGTTAAAGAAAATCTACAGTCAATTTTCACAAGTTAACTCAGCCTTGGGGATAAATTATTTTTACCAAACACCCTTATGGTAAGCGGTAGATCAAACATCTCCTAACTCTCATCGGATATATACGATTGAAAAGGTTTTCAAACCTAACCTCAAATTGGTTTTGGTTTGACCGATCCAGTTCATCCTAGCATGTTCGATTCATGGGTGGATCAGAAGTAAAAGGGTATCTCCAATAAGTAAAATGGATATCCCTAAAAAAAGATCACGTAATATACAATAAGAAAAAAAATCTGGAAAAAATTACACTACTAAATTTTTGTTATGGGTATCTCGGGCTATCTCAGGATACAAACTAGATCCGTCATTGGTTCGATTCAGATAGACTCATAAAATTACAATTAGGGGTGAGCATGGTGCGGTTTGGTGCGGTTTTCGGTCAAAACCGAACCATTAGATAACGCAAGTGGCCGTTTTCATTTGATTTCAACATACCTAAAAGAGAATCTACCTGATTCTTGACAAATTATGCGCTCTCAGTTTTCAATTTGTGATATCGACTTTCATAGTTAATAATCTCAGTTTTCATATTAATGCTTCCGTCTTAGTTTTGCCTGCTAACTTTTATATTTTTCGTAATCCACATGATATCTGGAACATATATCTGGAAAAAGACATTAGATAACGCAATTGCATCTGAATGGAAACATTACATATATAGAAAAAGAGTGGCACACACATACAACGATCGAGAAAATGCATGAAAAACAACAATAGCATCTAGCTTTATTCTGCATGTTGGTACTAGTATCACCAAGTGAAGTAGTACGTACTACTATCATGAGTCATTTTTCTTTCATTAAACAGACCATTAATTTTTTAACATTTAGGAATCGAAACACCACAAGCTGAAGCAACCTTCTTGGCATTTGGAGAGTTGATATATTGTTTAAGACTAGGGTTCTTCACGTAGCCACAGAAACAAGGCTGTTGTGCTTTCAACTTGCTGCAACAAGCTACAGATGGTGTCGCCCCACTAGAGAGAAACGCAGCACATGGCACTAACTCTTGTGGATTACAAGTTGCAGCATTCGTCTTCTCAACATTGTCCACAAGCATCACCACCAAGGCACACAAAAGAATGAATGAAAATGCCTTCTTCATCATTTCAAAATGAGAATAATAAGTTGAGACTAGAGATCACAGAAGGAAAGATGGTGATTTGTGGTTCTTCAAGCTTAAAGCTTCGTAATTTATAGTGGTTTTAGTAGGGTTTTTTGGGTTATTTAATAGTTTTACTAAAGATTTTGGAAAACCTTATGTTACATAATATATTTTCAAAGTTTCTTGACTTAAAGTGTTTGATAGAAATGTTTGGGTTTGGTCTTCTATACGTGGGTATGCTTCATTTTCGAGCTTTCTTTGGGGCAAAAATGCAAGTGACCATTCACCAACTTTGACGAACTAAAAGTCAATAGATATCGTATACAAGTAAAATCCCGACAGTTGTTTGAAAAATATTAGTTTATCTATTTGTTAGTTGTATAGGAGTTACAAGAGTCCATGATTCCATTAAGAATAAGAGTCTTAAAAAACACACAAATAGATTTTCCAACATCATCCATTATATCATTTGAAAACAAACAGACACATAGTTTTAATCGTACTTACATATAATACCTCACTACAATAAATCTAATCTATTCTTTGTATTTCACTCAAACTATTCTGCAACAAGAATCAAGAACAATGATGAAACATGAAACCCTAATTCTATACACGAAGAGAGGATGAGAGAAGTAATTTGATAGAACGCAAAGAGGAAAAAATGAATCAACTGATCAGCTGCAACAAACCATCTCTCCTTTAAGTACCTGGGTAAAAGGGTCTCTTTAACCCGCGTGTTAACCCGAACTCAAAAAAGAAAAAAAAAAAAACAAAAACAAAAAAGAAACACATTGCAACCCACAAGAATCATCGACTTTACTCAAACTATCCAAATCACTATAAATATCAAACCCAACGATAAAAAAACTTATCTTTTAAACCCTGCAACAATGAATGTTAAGTTTGCATACTAAAACATATTTTTTTAAATAGTGTCGTTCATATATAATAAATTTTGTATCATACATAGCAATCTATATTTTGGAGGGTTAATAAATCATAAATTGGTGTATATGTGAAAAGGTTGTTATGTATGGATCATAATAGTTAAAACAAATTAAATTTCTAATTATAGTTCGTTTGGAATAATATTTTTTATTTTTTTATAGTTTGGAAATATAAATTTTATGATCAGATATTTCAACTACTTAAACCCGACGGAGCACCGGAGGGAAGATCAGCAGCAGGACCCTTTCCCGCTCACCGGAACACTGCACCGGGAGTATTGGAACGACATTGCAAGGAGGAGGTGGGGGAGAGGTTGTTGCCATCTCTCTTTCTCTTATTGGCCGGATTTTTTTTTTTTTTTTTTTTTTTTTTTTTTTTTGTCAATCTAACCATTAAAAAACGATAATAAAAAAATTGCTAACGGCTAGAAATAGGAAATTGAGTTTTTTTTTTTATTTTTTTTTATTTTAAAATTACCCTCTACAACATCTATAATTATACACACACTTTAACATTCAAACTCACACCTCTTTCTATCAATTTCTTTCTACTTTTTTCAAAAAAATGAATCCCAACAATCAAACCCCAAACTCCAAGAAAATGAAAAAACCAATGTTTCGAGTTCAAGTACCCAAACTCGAACCACTTTCGCTATCGATTCATCTCAAGGGATTTATTGTCCACAATTCGATGCTCTCATTCAATCTTCACTACAATTCCAATACCAAAATATTATGCAATTTTACCCGATGCAAGTTCCAAATGTTACTCCAAATATGCTATCAAACTTTGTTGTTTTTTTTCGATCAACTTTCGTCAAATCAACCTCAAACTTAAATCTTAGTCTTTCAAAACCAAATCCAAACACAACCCTCTCAATCTCAACCATAATACCAAATTTTCGATGAGTTAGATGAAGAGATTGTACAGGAAACTCACCCCCCCCCCCCCAACGCCGCTAAGGAAAAAAAACAAGTGAATGAGGGTGTCGTACAACCGGGAAGATAGAAAACACAAGCATGGACTCCACATGAGGAGATAATTGTGGTAAAAGCTTGGATTGACATTTCAGAGGATTCGACGACGGGAAATGCACAATCGGGAGATCATTTTTGGTTTCTCATTCTTGAGAGGTTTCGCAAGGAGATGGGAAAAGGTGACAAGTATCATACTAGTCATCAACTGAATTCGAAGTTTTGAGAAATAGCGAATGTCGTTCCAAAAATGAACGGGTTGTAAAACAACCTAAAAACCCAACAGAAAAGAAGCCAAGGAGATAAAGAAATACTTTAGGAGGCTTTGCATTTTTTTCTAGAAAATATTGATTAAAAGTCCTAGGTGAAAAAAATACAAGCAATAGTTTATACTTGAAGTACAAGAATCAAAGCAAACAAAAACGGGCTCTAGTGGTTACACAACTTCCTCCGATACTCGGGTCGGTCTACATTTAAATGTGTTAGGTTTTATTTAAAGCTTAATTTCAGAAACTACAAATAATAGCAAATGGAAGACTTGAGTTTTATAAATAACATAAACATTTTATCACTCACCAAGGATCATCTTGAAAGTAAAAGAAAGATTTGAAACACAACCATAAAAGGAAGAAATGGTAACAATTTTTGAAGCACTTTGAGTTCTCTAGGGGAGGCTTGGAAGTTGATGGAGTGAGGTTGAACCCTTGAGACACCAACAATGTTCCAACTTGATGTAATGTTAGTTACAACTCTTAAGCTTTAATTCAAAACAAGATTGTGACTTAAAGACAAGATGAAAACAACAAATATCTTCAATGTGCAAGACCTTAGAAAGAAGATGGAGAAGGGAAGAAGAGCTCTCAGCTCATGCTTGGTGCAAGAAGAAGATTGCAAGAGTGCACTCTTTATATAGTCATATAGTGAAGACAATACCCACTAGATCTTAATACTTTTTGCAAGCATGCCCCTATGTCATGAATCTGTTTCTTCTAGCTTCTATTCTTTACATTAAACAAATACAAAAGGCCATACCCTCACTAGTCTACACTAGTTTTAGCCATATCCTCTAAAAGAAGACAAAATGTTTAAATTTTATGAACTCCAAGTTTATAAAATATAAACTTTATCTTTAGGTAAAAGACTAAAGACTCAACTAGTCCAAAATATTGTACATGACTTATTAATTCACACATTATGAAATAATTTGTTACTTGTATTGTAAAAAATAATTATTTCCTTGAAATAAATATTTTCCAACATATTATAAGAGTTTATGAATATTTATTAAAATCAATTTCTAATAAATAATCATTTGTATCAAGTTGTTGTTAGTGTGACCCTTAAGATCATATGTTATTTAGCAAATCATTTTAATATGACTCTTGAGCATACTAGATCTTTCAATCTCCCGTCAGCGCAAGAATCGTATCAAATTAATACAAATGGTGATGAAAGACTAACAACATTTCACTGTCCCAACAACATATGACATAGTTCCATTCCACCAATGCCCAATTCCCTAGAAGCCCCAAGGCTACTATTGGCGAGAAAGGTAAGTTTATGAGTTATCCCTTTTGCTTCAGACATCATGTTGAATGTGAGATATAGATCGCATTCAATCACATATAAGTGTTCAAATTTATATCAGGCCTTAGATGTCTAGCTATCATTGAATAAGAGGAGCAAATCCCCTCTTGACTACATACGCCTATTGCATGGTTTACATCACGCCTGATAATAGCTTTTATAACTGCCTAATAAAAGAACACCTTTTGACTACATCAAAGAATAAAGTTCCCCACACTCAAGTCCCATATATGCATCTTAGGTGTTAAGGATATATAGATATTACCTTTTAACAAGTATCATTCATGACAACGATCCATGAAGTGATCTTGAACGGGTCACTCCAATACTTATTCTCTAGTAAGTATCTATGAAACTGGTTACAATGCTTTGTCAACCATCCCATTTCATATTAGTCTTATTTCATTATTACTCCCACAATAATAACTAACTATGGAGTTTTAATGTAGCACCTGGTTCTTGGTACGTAATTCTTTTTATTTTTATCAAAGTGTTTTGCATTTTTGGCCTTGGCCTCAGCGAGTTGAAGGACCAACTCGCCAAATAGAAGCGGGACGGGTTTGACAAAAACCCTAATCTGAGGTTTTGCACCCTATTTAAACATATCATTCTGTCACCCATCGTCCCATTTGCTCCCAGAAGACCCCTATAGCGAACCCTAATCGTGTGAGTGAAGATCTAAGGGCTTTTGAGTTATTTTGGTGCTTTTGTGATTTAAGAAAGGAAGGAAAAGCTTGAAGAAACAAGAAGAGGCCAGAGGGATCCAATTGAGCATCTTCTACAGTGCATTTTAGGTATAAAGTTTATACCTTGCTCATTATTATTATACATCTATTCTTGACGGAAGGTAGGGCTTCTAAGAGCCATTTTGGCTACCAACCATGATTGTAAGCATGGTTGAGGGCTAGGGTTTCGGATCCATGGTTCTTAAGGGACCCTAAGGCAGAAAGAAACTGTTTTAGAACCCATGGAAAGCCCCATGCATGTTGGGTGTTCCTTTTTGAGCCATTTGGGCTCATTCTTCCATGAATGCACGTAAATTTTGTAACTTTACGTGCTAGATCGAGCTTAGGGGCTTGGATCTATCATTTGGTCAAGTGTTGTACATCAGAAATCGAGGATTTAGAGTGTGGATGTTATCGACTCGATGAGTCCATTCTTGGGACACTACGAGTCCAAGGCTTTGTTGCCCATATATGTTAAGGGTCGAAAGAACTCAGTTGGGTGTTAGAAGGGTTGTAGCAAGACAGAAGGAGTGACCCAACGTATTGGACTTAGTTTTAGAACTGGAGTTCATGGGACTCGACGAGTTCTAGAATAGACTCAGTAAGTCCAAGGAAATCTCCTTATATTGAATATAAACTCGACAAGTTGTTCATACAACTTGGCAAGTCAGATGAAGGATCATTTGATGTTCTTATAGAAGAGGAACTCATCGAGTCATCGCAAAACTCGACGAGTCGAGTCATAGATGAGGTCGTGTAAAGGGATAGGGACTCGATGAGTTGACGGCCCAACTCGGCGAGTC